CTTGCCAAAATAATTTCTTAGATCTAGTACTTTTTTTGGTGGTGTCTTTAGGGCTTTCTATGTACAATATCATGTCTTCTGTGAATAGTTATAGTTATACTTTTTCCCTTCCAATTTGGATGACTTTTATTTCTTCTTCTTGTCTGATTGCTGTGGATAAGATTTCCACTATTATGCTAGATAAGAGTGGTGAAAGTGGACATCCATGTTTTATTCCTGAACTTAAGGAAAATGCTTTTATGTTTTGCCCATTGAGTATGATGTTGGCTGTGGTTTTGTCATATATGGCATTTATTACATTGTGGTATGTTCCTTCTATTCCTAATATTCCCACTTTGCTGAGTTTTTTTTTTTTCTTATCATAAATGGGTACTGGATTTTATCAAATGTTTTTCTGCATCTACTGGTATGTTCAAGTGGTTTTTATTTTTCATTTTGCTTATGTGGTGCATCGTATTTCTTGATTTGCAGATATTGTACCAATCTTGCGTCTCCAGAATAAATCTCACTTGATCATGGTGTATGATATTTTTAATGTATTGCTAGGTCTGATTTGCTAATGATTTGTTGAGAATTTCAGCATCTATGTTCATCAGAAATATTGGTCTATAATTTTCTTTTTTTTGTAGTGTCTTTATCTTGTTTTGGAGTAGGATAATTCTGGCCTAATAAAATGAGCTTGGGAGTTGTCCCTCCTCTTGGATTTTCTGAAATAGTTTGAGAAAAATAAGTTGGTCTTTGAATGTTTGATAAAATTTACCTGTGAAGCCATCCAGTTCAGGACTTTTATTTGTTGGGAGTTTTTTAAGTTACTGTTTCAATTTTACTAGTTGTAATCTGCCCATTCAGATTTTCTCATGGTTCCTGATTCAGTTTTAAAAGATTGTTTGAAGGAATTTAACCATTTCCTCCATATTGTCAAATTTGTTGGCATATAGTTCTTTTTAATATTTTCTTAAAATCCTTTGTATTTATCTGGTGTCAATTATTACTTCTCTCTTATTTCTGATTTTATTTATTTGGGTTTTCTTTTTTTTTTTTTTTTTTTTTACTGTGATGAGTCTGGTTAAAGGTTTGTCAATCTTATTTAAATTAAGCAACAACAACACGCTGCTCTTGGTTTCATTTATCTTCTTTTGTATTGTTTGTTTGTTTATTTATTTATTTATTTATTTTAGACTCTATTTATGTCTGCTCTGATGTAATAAATAGGGAGACTCTATGGTCTCTTCCCACCCTCCCCCAGATCCGTTAAGTGTAAAATTAAATTGTTATTTGAGATATTTTTTGTTTTTTGAGATAGGCTTGTAATGCTACAAATTTTTCTCTTAGGATATCTTTAGCAGTGTTGCATGAATTTTGGGTTGTTGTGGTCTCAAGGCAATTTCAAGTATTAAGAAAAAGTAACCATGATGTGATTATATTAAAAGTACAAGCCCTAAGTAAATCCCCAGTTCCCACTGCCAAAAGGGATATTCAGTGATGTCACAAGGGAGTTTCTTATAGGACTCAAAGTGTTCTCTCTCTATGGTACAGGCAAGGCCTGAGGTTCCAGAGGTCTGCAGGGGGCAGGAGAAGGAAGGCAGAACACAATCTGAAAAAGTGAATAGGTATTGAACTCATTGGGAATATCAGAAAAGACTGCTTATAACCACAATTTACAATAGCTGAGATCTGGAAACAGCTCAAGTGCCCATCAGTAGAGGAGTGGATAAAAAAAGCTATGGTACATTTATACCATGGAATACTATGCAGCAGTAAAAAAAAAAAAAAAAGAAGAAGAATCTCTTACCCTTTGAGACATGGAGAGTCCTGGAGAGTATATCCAGGCTAAGTGAAATAAGTCAGAGAAAGACACATATCACATGATCAAACTCAAATGTGGAATCTAAGTAACAAAGTAAACTGATGAACGGAGTGGATCCAGAGACAAGGAAGCATGGAACAGAGTGCGCAATCTCGGAGGGAAGATGGGAGAGGGTGGTGGGTAGGAGGTAATCAACCAAAGACCTTGTATGCTAAAGCCTTGGGGCAGAGGCGGGTGGGTTGGAGGAGTCAATGGGGAAAAGGGGGCCTTTATAATACTTTGAACAATAATTATTTAAAAAGAAAAAAAAAAGAGAAAGGATTGCTTAAGACTAGACTCAAACCCAAGCCTTTGTCCCCTAGTCCCAATGCCCACTCCTAAAATCAGAACTTGACCTCCATTAACCCATTCCTGGCTTCGGATGTACCATACATGCTTCTAACTCTGGAGAATGGAGACTGTCTATTTGGGACACACAGAACAGATAGGGTCAAGACAAAACATAAAAGATTTAAAGAAAATAAGGAAGTGCTTAATTCTTAAATATGAAACTACTGAACTGGTCTAAGTGTGTGTGTGCGTGCACATGTGCATGTCTATGTATATGTATGTGCATGCATCATAAGTCTCTGTGAAGTTTTTCTAACTTCAGAAGTGTAAATGCTGCTGTCATAAAACATATCATTTGGAGCTTTAATTTTTATATTTTATTATACTTATTTTGTGAATTTTAAGTAACAAATCATTATTTCAGAGTGAAAAATGGCAAAGGTTGATGAAAACAATAACAAATTATAGAGACAAATTTAAATAATTATAACGGAAAGGGCAACTTCTGCATGATGAAAGTAAAACTTATTACGTAGGGAAAAATAGGCTGAGATTGTAATAACTGATTGAAACTGAAGGGCATTATGCTAAGTGAAATAAGACCGACAAAGACATATTGTCACTTATTTGGGAAAATAAAACATGCACACAAATTCACAGAAAGAATAAGAAGTGACTGCCAGAGGCCAGGGCTGGTAGAATCAGCAGAGAGGCTGGTCACAGGGTTCACATTTTCAGTTACAAGATGAAGACTTGGGATCTAATAATTGATCACACTGCCTCGTATCTGACATCTGCTGAGAGTAGTACTTAAATATTCCCCACAAAAAATTAAATAAAGTCAATATGTGCGGTGAAAAAAAACATGGAGTTGAGGACAGAGGAGATTCCTAGAGTATCAATCCCTGTGAATAGCCCAAATTCCCAAGAGAACTTCAGACTTTCAAAAGCTACGGAATTGGAGTTTGGTGGATTCAAGCCAAGATCCCCAAAATACACAGAAACCAGGCAATACCTGGCTTCCAAGTGGAATACAGAGAAATTGATGAAGGCCTAGGAGGTCCAGGAGAGTGAAGGGGTGGAGCTGCTAGGCCAGGTGGGGGAGAGGAGCTGGGGTCCAGCCTACTCCCTTCTGCCCCCTCCCCCACACCCAAGAGCCCTTTGTGACCAGAAACACAGCCCTGTGATGTGACCTCTGGGCCTGCAGGCCACAAGCCACTCCCTGCACTCTGTTGCCTGAGGGCAACAGTGCAGTGCAGTACAGACGATGGAGAATACCCTCTTTTCTCTGAAAAGCGTTATTACTACCTGGCAGAACTCCAGTCCTTCCTGGGCGTTGGACATCGTCTTTGGCCTCCTGTGTGGGCTGCTGTTCTTCCTTGTGTCAGTCTATTTCTGGGGCAGAGGTCAGCCCTTACCACCACCAAGGAGACAGAAGAATAGCAGGAAGGTAAGGCTCCCTGGGCCAGACACCACAGAGATGATCCTTTTTCCAACCTTCTTTCCACTTTCCTGAATCACCTAGCTGGAAGGGATAGAATGCCTGTACTCAGGAGAGAATCGAACTCCCTCCTTCACGAAACAAGCCACATGGGGCAGGGGTTCGAGCAAGTGGGGAGGATTTCTGTGCAAAGACCTCCGGCCAGGAGGCGAGTTGTGATGGAGTGCTCTAGGGCACAGCCCTAAGCGCAGTGACCAGAGGCCAAGGAACGGATACTAAGAGTTGGATCGCTGTGGGGGATGGGCCCAGAGCCTGGTTCACCAGCCGCCTTCCCACAGCAGCCATCTCGGGCCAGCCTCCCCTCTGATGGGGACTGATCAAAGGGGAGGGCGGAGACCCTGAGATATCAGGATGGGGCTGGGGCCACAGGAAGGACAGTCCTGCTGGAGGGAGCTCCGATGGGCCTGCAGGTCTGAGAATGTGTGTGTTCCTCAAGAGGAGGAACAGTGATGGAAGAAGGCCATGGTCGGTCTCAAATAGAAAAATCTTTCTTTTCTTTTTGCAAAGAACAAAATCTGGGGTGATGCTGATCCACTTCAAAAAACAAAAGGGGGACATCAGAGAGCCCCAGGCGTTCAATGTAGAAGGTCACAATGTTCACGAACTCTGAGCGCCTGCTGCTTGTCTAGAGAGAGGAGGGTGAGCCCGGGGTCCTAGTCCCTCGCTTGTTTCTTGTCTCCTAGCATTCAGTGGAGCCTAAAAGGAGGAGCAGGAGCAGGAACAGGAAGAAGAGTGGAGTTTTGAAAGGTGAGCTGCCCCTCAGCCCTGTGCCAAAGGGTTTGCCTCCATCTGTCCTGTCCCCGAGGGCCCAGGATCAGGGCCCGGAGGATGCCCACGACAGAGCTGGGGAAGGAGGTCAGAAACTGACTACTTCCCAGCAGGGATGTCAGGGACCAACAGTGCCTGATGGGGAGGTGGGACCTCCAGGTCCAACTGTGGGCATGGTGTTCACTCCGCTCAGATTCCTCTGAGATGCCCTCTACCCTCCCCTACCCCAACACCACACACACACACACACACACACACACACACACACACACACACACACACACGGAAGTTGGGCTCCGGAGACTACTCTCCCAGGTTGTCTCTCTTAAAGGGACACTGGGCCCTGCTCCATCATGTGACCCAGTGTCCTGCTTTGCAGCCTGCAGAGAGTGCCTGCAAGAACTAGAGGAGGCTCGGAGCCTCATTTCTCTTCTTGGAAGGTAAAGCATCTTCCCTTTCTCCCCTGAACTGATGTGACCTGGGGCTATAGGCGGCCCTGGACTCACCTGGTTGGGGGCGAGGGGACATGGGTTTGGGTTTGGCTATGGCCCTGGGTGAGGGGCAGCAGGAGATAGGGAAGTCAGCAATGGGCCCATGGAGGACCCTGCGCCCCAGGTGCCTGCCACCTCCAGGCCTGCCCATGTGCTCCTGGCTGCAGCCTGTGCCTCCATCCCCTGCAGCCACCTGGGGAGGCCTCCCGAACAGGGCAGCAGCCTTCGTCAGTTCTCCTGTCAAGACTCTTCTGATGAGGTGTGCAAAGCAGCGACCACTGGAGCACACCTGCCCAGAGAAGCCCCTAGGACCGGTGGAGCGGCTCTGCCCAGCGGAGCCCCTCTGCCCGGTGAAGCTCACCTGGCCAGCGGAGACTCTCTACCGGGCAGATCCCACCTGCCCAGCGGAGCCCCTCTGCCCGGCAGGGAGCACGTGGAAGATCCTGCTCCCTCCATATCCCCATCAGCTTCCCTGGCTCCTCTGACACCGTGTCCTCTACCTCTGGCCTCTTCCCTGTCAGCAGAACATCAAGACCAATCTAACTTGAAGGACTCCCCACTGCGTACCATTGTACAGAGCTCACCTCCCAGCAATGCCCTTGTGCCACTTCCCAACCGCGCCATCGTAAGTGTTGGCCACTCAAGCCGTGCCATTTCAGCCCTGACCTGGTGGCAGGAGGCTGCCCGAGCCTTGTACCTCTCAACCTCATCACAGTGCAAGTCCCAGCAAGAGCACCTGTCCCACCACCCACCCGAGGCCTCCCTCCGGGGAGACCCCACAGACAGGCAGGCGGAGCCTGGGAGCCTCTCAGTTGTCAATCCTGGCGTCCAGAGGCTGCTGGAGATTCTGCTCACTAAGAGGGCAGAACCGAAGACGTGGCAGGAGAAAGGAAAGGAGGGGTCACTTCCCAAACCAATGGGCCCGGAATGCCACCTGCGCTCTTTGGGGAGTATGTGGAAATCCCTGGGTGCTGAGCAGGACACCACAGCCCCCCAGCCCTTCTGGAGCCTGAGGGACAACCAAGAGCAGCTCTCACACATCAAGTTCTTGGAGGAGCATCTTCAGCGGAAGTACAGCCAGCTCTTCTGGGGTCTCCCCTCTCTGCACAGCGAGTCCCTGGTGGCCACTGCCTGGGTTTCAAAGAGCTCTTCTTGCCTACAGCCTCTTTCAGTTTTATTCAATGGAAACTCGAACAACTTCCCAGTTCCAATTCAGCTTACAGCACCGGCAGGGCTTTCCCAGGCCCCGCCCTTGCCCTTTCCTGGGACCCAACTCCAACCCCAACCCCTGAATGGAAACCTGACCCAGGCCCAGCCCCCACCTCTGGCTCAGATCCAGACCCAGAATATCAGGGCCTCCCTCTCAACTCCACCACCACCTTCTCCGCACCAGATGGGGACCTTTGAGGTATCTTGCCCTACAGCCCAGAACAAAAATCCTCCTTGCATCCCAATTAAAATTCAACATCTGGAATGTTCCTGGAAGCAACAGCAAAGGGAGAAGGCTTTGCCCTCTGTCACCAAAGGAACCCAGGACGTTTTTAGCCAACCCACTCCCAACATTCCCCAGAATAGTGGGGTCTCCCAAGGCCCCGGGTCAGTTTCTGATTTTCAAAGGGACTTTATCAGCCCGAATTTCCAGAAGCTACATCTTCAAAAGAAGCTCGTGGACGATGAAGGGTGTGGGGGTCTGCACTTCAAGGTCCAGGTGTCTCTGGAATTGAAGCAGCCTCAAGGCCAAGTCCCGTGGGTGTGTCAGGCACAAGACAAGCAGGGGCCCTTGCATCAATCTGTGTTTGCAAATAAAAGCAGCCAGAACCCACAGAAGATGGAGTCCGGGTGCCAGAGAAAGTCCCATGGGAAGGATCAATCAGGGAAAGATACCAGTGGGGGTCTACGGCAATGTTGGAGGAAGAAGAACCCAAAAGGTCTTTCCAGAGACTCGGCCACCTTTATAGTGAAGGCTCTGGGGATTAGCTCCAAAAAGAAGTCAGAAAGAGACTTGAAGCCCTCAAAGAGTAACCCGGGAACTTGCTTACCCAGAAGCACAGATCAGAAACACCCAGAAAAATTCCTAAAAGACGATTTGGTCAGGAAGTTAGAGCAGATCGATCAGGACTTGGACCCACTGAGTACGGGGCAACCCTGGCTTGCTAACAGCCATGCTTTTTTCAAGGGCAACACTTACACGGAAACCAAAAATCTGGCATCCTCGGAGAGTCAGGAACATTACGTGAACACCTCCTATGAGCCTCCCTTCCTCAATCCAAGCACTCGACAGATACTGGAAGAACATCTTCTAAAGTTTCAGGGGAGGCAAGAGTGTGGCCTGCCCCTCCAGGCCTTTGAGCCCATAAATCTCAGGCTACATGAGGCTCAAGATATGTGCCTTCCACAGTCCCCCTTGCCCACTTTAATTGCTTGTGCACCCGAGAAACACTCAAAAGCCAAGTTCATCAAGGCCTTGGGAAAACCTCGTCAGGCCTTTTCGGAAGAGGTGATAACAAAAGAGTCAGGTCGCCTCCCCACCACCTCTATGTCTGCAAGTAAAAGCAGCCAGTGGTCATTCGAGCAAAGCCAGAAGTCCATTGAAGGGACATCGTCTGGTTCTGGCTATGGGCTCTCAGAGGCCCCTCGGACTAGAGAGGAGAGCAGGCTGCCTTTTCAGTCCCTCACACTCAGTGGAAAAACCCAGCAGAGTGGCACTGGCATGGATAGTAAGAAGAAGAGCCTGAGGCCAAATCCAAGTTCAACAGTAGCCAGGAAGGAGTCCAAGTGGGAGAAAGGGACTCAGACTCCAGCAGATCCCTGCCAGAGGCCAGCAATGCTAAACATGAATGTATCAGCCCACTCTTTTAGGGCTGAAGAGTCCAGGAAGGCAGAGGAGGCTGAGAAGGACCCTGCTTGGGACATCATTATAGGACCCAGTGTGCTGGGCAAGGTCCAAACCACTACACCAAATATGAAGAGGTCAGGGTCTCCAGGACCCAGTCAAAGGTCCTCACCACCTGCAAAAACAGTTGCCCAAGATTCAAAAGAGCCATGCCTTACCACCAAGATGGCCAATACTTTTGAGCTCCAAGGGAAGGCAGGGCCAGGGAGCCAGCTTCCAGGAGGCCATGCCCGCAGCTTGCTTCTTCCAAACTATTGCAGTGATGTCCTCCTGCAAGACTATGCCACCGGCATGCTCATCCAAGACAACGTCACCAACGTGCTCCTCCAAGACCCTCACACAGACATGCTCCTCGCTGCCGACATCTTGGCTTCTCACTGGACCCCGTGCGGTTCCCAGAGGAAAAACACCAGCGGGGACAAGCCAGCTGCCCGGGAGCCTTATAACCTCTTATGGAGCAGACAGAGCAGCCAGGGGCAGCAGGCACCGCGGCTGTCAAAAGTTAAGGCCCCGTCGAAGAGCCAAAGAAAAATGTCGGTCCCCACGGATCAGAGGGAGGACCAGAGGAGGCCCAAACGAGGACAGCACAAAGAAGGGCTGGCCGGATGGAGGACCTCACAAGCCAGAGGGATTAGCAACCCTCCTCAGGTGAGTGATAAAGGAGACATCCGAAGGAGGAAATTCCCCCAACCCCTGCCAGAGGAAGAAATGGCTTTTGTAGAATCCAACTGTACTAAAAAGATGCAGCACCTGCCAGAGGAAGAAGTGGTTTTCGTGGAATGCAACTGTACAGGAAAGAGGAGGCACTGTCTTCAGGACCAAGGACCAAAAGACCTAGTTCAGAAAGGCCAGCCTGCCTCAGCCACCGGCTGGAACCAGGAACCAGCCCAAAGCAGATCATGTACGGATACCGGGGCCCTCGGAGCTCAGGCGATCATGACAGCTGTGGGGCAGATCCTGGCGCAGAAATTAGCATGTCACCAAGAACTTCTTGCCCAGGAGGTCAACCAGCCCCCAAAACAATTCCAGGCCCCCGGAAGTGGGCTATCCCACAGGTCCTATCCTTTCCAAAGCAGGGAAGAGTGATGAGAGGGCCTCCGGTCTCCGAGCCTGGAGGTAGAGGAGGACTGAGTGGGGATAAATGGTGATGGAAAAAATAATTAAACAATTAAATTTAAAAACTGGTCTCTCCTCTGGTCAATTGCAATGTGCTTCTCACCTTTTTCCCCTGGTAGAAAATTAAAAAAAAAAAAAAATCAGTTCATAGAAAACCTGTTTTTTTCTTGTTAGCACGTCCCTTGCACTAATGCCTTCTTCCTGCCATATATTTGTTTCCGAAATATATGATTCTCCTCAGACTGGTGGCCTCCGTCTGTGCCCTGGAAGGGGAAGAGAGGGATCAGGGTTCGCTCTTCCTGAGAGCTTGCTTTGGATTCTAGAAAGAAGGAGGTCATAGGGCGAGGGTGACAACACTGAGGCACACCCACGCTCACCCCCATTTCCTCAATAATTCATCTTCACAGACAAATGAAAGCATTTAGGGGTTGTCAAGATCTGGCTCAGCTGTCCTCTCCTGTTTTCTCTCTCTACTTGAACTTGTGGGCTACAGGGGGAGGGATTGCAGAGGCTGACATGCCCTCAGGCCCCAGGAAGGGTCTCAGTGTGGGAAGGGGCCTTTGGGAGTTGTGCTGATCCTGAGTCTGGAGGTGGGAGAGATCTTGTCCTGGATCTCTTGGTGGGAGGTGACGCCTGCCCCGGGGACCCCTCTCTCCCCCAGGAAGCTGGGATGCCAATGGACCAGCCCAGCCCTGTTAGCTCAGTGCTCAGTGTCCCTCAGTGTCCCCTTCCTCTGCCTTTCTCATGCTCTGGAGCAGCAGTGAGGACTAGGACGGGGAAATGGCAGCAGGGGCCACTGCTGTAATTATGTTGGGGATAAGGCCTTGCGCGGTGCAAGGGGCCAGGAGCCTCCAGGAGTAAGTGGGCCAGCAAAGAGGATCAATTCGTGCTCCCCAGCTGTGCCGCCAGCACACCAGCACAAAACAGCTCATGGCAGATTTGTGAGGTTTGCTTTATTTTTATTTATTTATTTATTTAATATATTTTATTGATTTTTTTACAGAGAGGAAGGGAGAGAGAGATAGAGAGCTAGAAATGTCGATGAGAGAGAAACATTGACCAGCTGCCTCCTGCACACCCCGCACCGGGGATGTGCCTGCAACCAATGTACATGCCCCTGACTGGAATCGAACCTGGGACCTTTCAGTCCGCAGACTGACGCTCTACCACTGAGCCAAACCGGTTTCGACAGTTTGCTTTATTTTTAAATGTTTGCTTTTGAAACAAATGAAGCTTTTTCACAAAGGAGAGACAGATTTTTGGAAATATTTCTATTATGTCATCTGGAATATTTATACTTACTGCTTAATAATATTAAATAATTAAATAATATGGTTTACATTGCTTCGTTTAACATGTGGTATTTTCCTCAGATGGTATTATGCCTATCTCCAGAAAGTGCAATAAATAAATAAATAAATAAATAAATAAATAAATCCTGATGTTCAGCTAACATAGCTTAAACTTTTGGAATATTTAGAAGAATTTACATTTCATATAATTCTAAGAAATGCACACTTTCCAAGATTCAGGAGGTTTAGGCTCTGTTTCATAGTCATTATCTGGCTATAAAACACACCTTGCTTAGAATAATTTTGAAATCTTAGAAAATATGTCTTTAATTTATGCTTGAAATATACATTACTTCAGTTAAATTACTTCAGAACTGGCATTTTAATATATTAAAGAAAGCACACATTTCATTGCCATGCCTATCATAATAATAAAGGTCTCATTGTCTACCTAATACTTTCCAAATTGTGCACCTCTTTCTCACTGGTCATAAGAATCCTGTTGCCCTTGACTTGGTCAAATCTACACCAAGAACAGATGTCAAGCATGTGTCTGGTTGAAGCTGTTAGGTTACTCAGTGACATCATCATGGCACTTTCAGAAAAGAGGGATGAGCTGATGTGGGGCAGGTTGAGTTCAACTGCTGCTGGGAAGGATGAAGAGGGAGCACTGAAGATGAGGGAAGTGCCAGACATTTCCTCAGAGGGCAGCAGCCCTCTCGGCACCCTTTGGATGGCCACCCTGAGGTGAGAATCCCCCAGCCCCGCCTCCCTCAGTCTCTAGCCGGAGGCTTCACTAGCTGAGCTGATCCAAACAGCAGTGTCAACAGAGTGGTGACCAGACACGTACAGCAATGCACTTGGAAAAAAAGCAAAGGCAGCTCAGATGATGCAAGATCCCCCAGATGTCAAGCACCCTGTGCTCGCACACTTGCCCATTCATGTCGGTAACTTTTTAAACATTTGTGATAACAATGCCTGTTGGGCTTCTTCCCTTGGGGCCTCCCTGGATGGATTAATGCAGACAGCTGCTGCTTTAGGCGTTCTGATTGGTTCCTACTGGTTTGGGGCGAAACCAAAAGCTTCTGAGCCAAGAGCAAGGTAGAAGAACATCCAAGAGCCCCTGGGGAAATGCAGGACAATCAAGAAACCATGGAGAACCTCACCTGCCAAGAGACCTTCCTAGCACCTGGGAGGATTAGAAAGGGGCGGGGGAGGGAAGCCCTCCATTCACCTGCCCCCTTTGCAGCTCACTGGCATCTCATTCAGGATAAAGCAAGAAAAAAAAAAAAAAAACCTCAGACCTCTGGGACAGAATGCCCCACAAGGAGCCAGCTCAGCATATAATTATCCCCACGATTGTTTGGAAATGAAGCGGGCTCCATTCTGGGAAGGATGACGTGGATTGACAAGAGCCTGGCTTTGTAGGCAAGCAGAACTTGATTAGAATTTGGGTCATCGCTAGGAGACCCAGTGGCACCTTTTAATCCGTGTGTCAGATTTCTCATGAATAAAATGGGAACTATAATATCTACTTGTAGAGTAAAAGGAACCATGTACGTATAGTGCCTGAAATAGTTGGGTGTCATAAGTGGTACCTCTTAGGGGGATAGAAGCCTGAGGGGCTAGGCTTTTTTTGATTGGCCAGAAACCAGCCCTCTTATCACCTTGCTGATGATACCTCCTCCTTATCTGTAGACAATGACTACATTTCTCTTTCTCATGGAACAGTGACCCTCAAAAAACTTCTTTTTCAGGGGAATCATCTGGATTGCTAGTTAAAAATATTCCTTCCCAGGGTCCATTACCCAGACTTTCTATTTCAGTAGGTGAGGATGGGGTCCAGGAATTGGAGTTTTACAAAAAATGCCCGTTTCCCTCCAAATGTAATTCTGAGAAACACTGCTAGTATTTATCATTCTAGGACTTACAGAATGCTGACAAAGCCTGGTTGATGTAAATGCAAAATATTCTCCCAAAGCCCCAAGTAAAAATGAATACTCCCTAACACCATTGGGTGTGCAATTTGCATAGTTATAGCACCCTTTCACCACGTGCAAATGAGACCCAAATGAATCCTTCTTTTGACCCATAAAGAATGTGTTCTGGTGGTGAGGTTGGGAAGAGAGAAAAGGGCCTGGATGCCATAGGGAAATTACCACCAGCCCACAAGACACATGGATTCTACCTTTGGTCCATAGTTCACTAGCTGTGTAACCATGGCACAGCATGTTAGCATCTCTAGATCTATTTTCTCTTCTGTAAAGTGACCATGGTACTCCCTGTCCTGTCTATGTCTCAGGGATACTGTGGGCTTAAGTGAGATGAACAGGTCATGCAAAGGGCAAGGTGGTTGGTGAGTAAGGAAGACTTAAGTGTTAGAGTATTGACGGGGCTGGAAAGTAGGGCCTAGTTAGGTATCAGGTGGCATCTAACCAGGAAAGCAGAAAGGAACTCTCTTGTTTTCAACAGAGAGAATTGAATGCAGGGAATGGAAGATGTTCCATCTAGTGTTGGAAGATGTTCAGCTAACATAGCTTAAACTTTATTATTATTATAGGCATGGCAATTAGATGTGTGCTTTCTATAATATGCTAAAATGCCAGTTCTGAAGTAATTTAACTGAGGTAATGTATATTTCAAGCATAGCTTAGAGACATATTTTCTAAGATTTCAAAATTATTCTAAAGAAGGTGTGTTTTATAGCCAGATAATGACTAGGAAACAGAGCCTCCACAATGACCAAGATTCATGAGAAAAGATATGGCCTGGAATCAAATTTTTATTTGAACTTTTGGTCAATACTATTTTCCCTTGTCCATAGAGACAGTAAGTATGCACAGGGAATCTGGCCAACCTTCGCCTGAACCCTACCTTTAACAGTCAACTAATTAATCAGATATCTTGAGTTTTATAATTAATCATATCTACCATGCGTGTGTTGAAATTTTTAGGTCATTAGAATCCCATTATCTATATTCACTGGGAAATGGCCTCTAAACATAACTTCATGCTTCTCTGATGAAGATGCCTTAGGATGGTGCAGGGACCACATGAGAATGGAAGGAGCTGGAGATGCCTGTTCATTAACAGGGATTTCTGGTTAAAGGAGCGCTGTTGACTGTAGTGGTGCTGCTGTTGGCTCCCTTAGAACACTGCCTACTTACTGGGCAATACATCCCTCCAGGGAGAGAACAAAAGTGAGAAAGGGAAGGAAACACCGAGCCACCCTCTGCCCTGGCTTCCTTATTAATCTAAGCAGACTGAGTCCTATAGAGGGAAAACGCAGCCCCAGGGCCCTATCCTGCCTTTGCGACCAGAGACCACATGGGGCCCATCTCGATTTGCAGTCCATCTTGAATGACAATGTCAGGATGCATGATCAGATACAACATGACTCCAAGATCACATGCATTGGCATCGCCTGTCACACTAGCACGCACCCCCTTCCTCAGACCCCTTCCCAGATTCAAGCTCAGACTCTGAGGATGCGGCTTGGAAGTCTACCATTTTCACAAACTTTCCTAGGTGGTTCTTACACACATTAATAAGAACACATGGACATGTGTTGAATGAAAATGAATGAAAGAATGAATGAAACAACAAATGTGGATGTTATCCACAATTTAGCCACTCTTCTACTGAAGTACATGACTGTTTCCACTCGTTCATTTTACA